AAAGCAAAGCTAATCCGAAACACTATAAAAGCCTGACAGTTCAACACGAATAAGATAGAAACCGGGCGTAATAATGGAGTAGCGTAGTTTATCCTCTGAATTTTACTTTTCTTGTAGGGGAAACCATCTTAATCTGTGAGATCATGAAGCTATCTTCCATGTTTCTGTTGGCTAGACCGAACACATTACAATTCATTTCTCGACAAGTTGCTTTTGACAAGGTCTCAGATAGCCGGCAGGCTAACGGCCTGCATGTGTGCACGATTGGACATACTGTCTACCTAAGTATAATTTATACAGGTTAGTTACAACTAATCAGAGAAGGCTAACTTTCTGGCCAAGATAGAAGCAGAAAAAGGGCCTTTTGAAAGTAATGCTTTCAAAACTGCTGTTTTGACAAACCTGTAATTGATTGCCAATTACCGTTGAATGATCTTTTGGTCTAGCGTCCTAATAACGTGGTCAAACTCTGTAAACGCCTACATGCCTACATTCACTGATGCAGGATTAAATGTTCAATTTTGATGAAAACCATGTGTACGTCTACAAAACAAGTAATTTGTTGTTCATGAAGGAATATTTTTCTGCTCGATATAATCACAAAAGATTCTGTGCTTGCATTTTTCATAGGCTAAGTCGTGTAAAACGACTGTCACATCCGGTAACCTGTTGTACCAATGGATATTGGAGATAAGACGCTACGGTGTCCAGTTCAACCTAGTGAATCCAGCAAAACGTCAAATAAGGTTTCTAATTGTGACCACGTCAGAAATCACGGGTCTTAACAAACGAAGTACACGTGAATTTTTGTCAGAGTATGCGCGAAACAAATATGAATTTTTGGGAGCCTACTAACTTTCCCTACTCTTTCAAATAGTTTCCTAATTTAATATTGACATAACCTATCGTAAACTACTCGGTAAATCTCACCAGAAAAAGTTGTGATCTTAATGGAACGACTATTTTCTTTATCTCAACCCCATATTATGGTATTTGAAGTGTACGAAATGGTTAAATTGGGATTTGTTGTTGGTGTTTCCAGCTACACTCTAAATGCTCGTGGATGATACAGAATGTGACCTTTCTATTTTTCAGACCACGGAATATATGAATATCACTGGTGACAAAAAATGTTCCAGATATTGATATTTCCGCAATTATTGCCTCCGTATATTATACAATCACGGTGTAGTAAATTAGGCCATGGTTCTTGATATTATTTTTAGTTATCAAGTTTTACGTAGGATCAACAATACTTATTGACAGAAAGTGGTTGACTAAAACTAACTAACCTTCATCAAAGATTTCACTGACCACTGAAGCAATGGGAAATGCAAAAAGACGACTTGTAATCGCAGAACGTTTTGGGCCGTTAGGCGTCTCCTTATCCAGCTTTCCATTTTATTGGGTACTTTTACAGTGGAATACTCATAGATAAATATAATTGGCTGGCGAGCGTAGACTGATAAGCTAGCCAGATTGGATGAATAAACTGAGTGAATAAAGTGAAGAAAACTATCGCGCTTTCAACTGATGGGTGCAAGATGTTTTCGACCTGTGTGTAGCGCAAATTGTTTCAAGCGACTGAGAATGCGCTCCAAAGTTTCATGATTTTATTTGCGTGACCAACGCAGTGTCTGAATATTTCCTCTCAATTAAATTGGTGAGCCTTCCATGAACGAACTACATATTTACGGTTGGTATTCAATGGATTTTGGAATGATTCTTTCAGCTCGCCATTTATCCGTATTAAGGTAATCAGTATTGCCAATTCGTTGGCCTTCCCATAAGTAGAACGCTTTCAGAGGACTCGTTTTTCGCTGGCAATCCTCTGCATCTAACCTCTTATTCTAACGTTAAAACCGATGGTATTTCCGTCTGTTTTGGTCCCTGGAGTTATCCGGTATAAACTGTTACAAAACAAAATACCAACAAAATGCAACTGTAATGAGGGAACCAACAGCCAGATCAGTCTTCAGTGTCTTCTGTTCAAGAGGCAAGCCCGAACCTGGATGACATCTTACCCAGATAGTAGTTGCCATGTTCGTAGTGTGCTATTTCGTTTTTTTTGATGATTCCACTAACTAAAATGTCGGACTGCTGTATATGCGTATTTGCCTGACACTTCCTGATGTTTGCCATCCTTTAAGCTGGAGTCATGTTGCATCTTGTCTGTAGAACCCCGGCACCGATCTTTAATAAATTTATGCGTTCCTCAGAAGCGTTACCTTTCTAGGTGTGGCACAATTTGTTTGCGGCTAACAGCGTAGTTTTGCTCTGTTACTTCACTGCATATCTAATTCTTCATGAATACTGGTTCGCGGTAAAGTATAAATTAAAGAGACTCCAATATGCATTCAATTTTTGATAAGGGTAGATGATATGCCACGTCCGTCACATTTGTAAATTGTGTAGCTCAATAAAATTTTAATACATTGGTTATTTGCATTAATACTAATGAGAGGATAATAATAAAGAGAGAAAAATATAGTTTTTTTTGTCGTTTTATGAGGTTCACTTGATTTAGCTAACTGAAAATTATAAGAGTATAATTATTTCGCAAAACTCACACTCGATGGACTCTGCTCGTGAAAAAATAGTTATCAAGTGCGTTAAGAAAACATCGTACTCTGGTACAAAGTAACAAAAGCGAGATAATTCTCAACCAGTATCTGCCTTTTTAAAATAGCTGCCCGGTCAGTCGTTCCGATAAGGCCATCCGGGTAAACTAATTCTGAATTCTAGTATTTGCCTGACTTGTGCATAAAACGAATAGGAATTTTTAGCTATTTAATTTTACATGCCCAACTTACGGAGAAAGTCAATCCGTTTTACATGCGATACCTCAATAACCCTGCCTCAGATGACTAGGCTAATAATTTATCTATTTTATTCTATGCAAACCATGAAGAAATACTACAAATAATCTTGTCACAAGATGGATTATAGAGCCCAATCAAGCAGAAATCTTATACCCTGAAACGCTAGCTTTTGTTGCCTTCAAGCAGTTAAGCAGCGGTTAGACTAATCACCCGCGCAAAATATTTACCTTTCATTTTCCAGGTTTACATTAAAAGTACTTGCCTTATAATCAGTGCAACCAAAGAAATTCTCTTGAACTCGTAAAGTTTACCAACTCTTCCCACAAATTACCATTACTTACAGTAATATGACTGTGTTCATAAGGCTTTGACAAATCGATTTTACTCTGGCTATACGCATGGGTTCCCAATCTTGGTAATCTGACTGTATTTTACGAACCAGTAGTAAGTACCGTCCCACACAGGATGTTCCAACTTAATCTTTTCCAGCACATCCAACAGGCGTTGTCGTTAATTTAGCAGAATGGATAAACTGTCGTTCATACCGTTATAATTTAACTCACCTTTGTAGACAGCTGTGGTGAACAAGTAAACAGAAGAGCTTTTCCCATTTGTTGAGTTGAATATGCACTGAGGCAAATAATTAAAGCGGTAATTTCAAATAGATAGTACAACTACAATGTTTTTGTGCACAAACCAGCAAATGCACCAAAACATTGTTGACAGATTTTTGTGAATTGACTTTCCTCGAAAACAAATTTTCAACTAAGATCACTCCTTCAATAAAAGTTCAACAATACCTTCTATAATTAAACCTCCATTGCACCGTTGCGTGTCTATACCATGGGGCACTTGCCTGTTGAATTTTTGTGTTCTCAAAGAGATATGATCATTTGTGTTTGAATTAGCTGCCTAAATACGTCACGACAGTTTCACGCCTTCAAACCGTATTCGTTTTTCACTAATTTGTGAATCGATCATCGTAGATTCTAACTTAAACCAGCTTCTGTACGAATATTCTTGGGAACAGGCATTAAGTAATGACTCAGTTTTGTTGTGCTCCCTATATAAATTGTGGTCATTAATTTTTATTGATATCCACTGGCACACAGTTGGATTCAACGTTTATGGCATTGTCATTCTGAGGGACTATCACTAACTATGATTCGTTTACAAATGTAACTCCACAGTAATCATTGATACTATTGTTTTGAGTAGCGTTTATTTCTTACAACTGCTATAAACGTGCAGTAAATCTTCCTTATATAAATGCATATAATGTCACTTACTGGTGGCCGAAATCTCTGAAAATTTCCAAAAGAACCAGGGATACTTTACAAAATTGCTGTAAATGTTCCTTCCCTGCAATCAGTCGGTACTTTGTTAAAAATACTTGGTACGCTATGTAGATTGATGGTGTGATTAGATTGCGACGTTATGAGATTGGTGTCTTATGTCTATCGTCACTAACCCCATATCTTTTCGGTGCATCGGTTTTAAGTTCACCACCCACTTCAGTACAAATCAAATTCCCAAAAATTTGGAACAGCCAGCCAGCCAGGCCAAAATTTGGTTGGACCTTCTTGTAGGATCAAGTGCTTCAAAATATGTCTCCAGAAACAGTTCAGAAAGCACCTAATTCGACCGGAATCACAGAGCTTGCTTGATGCCATGGTTGGTGCCAGTTAGAATAGATGCTTAACCAGTCTTTAAACGACATAAACCCAGCGTAAAATAGAAACATTTATTATCTTGTTCTGGATGCGTATGGGTCTATTTTGACTTTTATATTTGATCGATAAGCCACAACAGTCTCGTCCTCAAGACTCCGTCCTTCATGCAAGTAAAATTAGTCTGTTGACTAACAAATTTGGCTTTGCATGCTGCGCAAGCAATGCCGATTTGGAGACCCACTACGCAAACGCCAATTTCACCTTTTCTTATATGTTTTATAAGGCTCAATTACACTGCCCATGGAAACGACCGTCTTGCCCACCCATGTGTGTAACACCATACATATTTATGGTCCCCAGAGTAGATGTTCGATGAGAAATAGAGCGAAGCAAGGTTGTCCATTACCGAGAAAATACATTTACACTCGAGCATGTCAACGTCGTCACTATCTCTAATTAAAGGCGGTTGGCATAAGCCAATAAGCCAGAAAGTAGACAGAACTTGAATTTCTTCCTACCGCATATGTGTAAACCTTTACCATGTGATGGTAACTTGAGAATCTCACAGTATTTTAAAGCGTGACTATGAAATGGCAGCCAGCCAACATGTAAGAGCAACTTATACCACTGATACTTTGGAGGCATTTATTTGACTGTCTGTACCTAATACAGTTTTTACTGAGGGAGTGCTGAAACGGCTTACCAACTTGTGTACGACCTATTTAGAGAATTAAAAGCAAAACAATTGTTAGCGTTGAACGAAATCTGCGTTTTATGGGAGATTGCATGAAAAATTGGCGGGAGTGAGGAGCGATTTTTGGCATGAGAAGTACCTTACTTCGGAGGAAGGAGACTGATAAGCCGAATTCAAGCAACTACCTAAGGTTATTTTTGTACGCTCCTAAGTGTCATGGAATGTCGGTGTCCTTTGCGATCAAGATTACCGTTCTTCATGGCAAAGCATTCTTTATTCACTGCGGGACAACGGTGAAAAGTTAGTCAAATAAAGCCCCGTGATTGAAAGGTAGCAGCTGAGGGGCACAGGAGCCTGAGCTTAACGCGAAGATTCAAGTTGTTGACTTTTCTAGAACTCGAACAATGTAGACAGAAACTGGGAACATGGAGGCCAGCGTCGTCGGAAGGCCGTATGTCCTTTGAACGTCAAGTAAACAAACAGCCACGTAGGTCTCACTTCGGAAGGCGGACAGCCTTCGAAACAGACATCGAAACTTTTATAAAACCTTCCACCACACTTCGCAAGGTCCTAACAGAGCCTCTATGTATTGTACAACTGTGGTGGCCTTTTCATTCATACTTCGTTAAAAAATGTCAATAAAATTGCATTCAGTGAGAGATGTGTTTGCCAGTAGCCAATACATGCATGCAAATGTTTACGAAAATGTAAAACAGTAACACCCATCAGGCCAGTACCTGGAAAAAAACTTTGAAAATGCTTGTGTCAAAGCAAATGGTGATGAATATCTGCCACTCCTGTTGGGGTTTGATCGTACTGTAGTTCAGCAAAAGTAGCAGATCTTATTACCCTTTTAGTTGTTGTAGATTGAGAAATTTGAGCAAAGCACAGCCACGCTATTCTCTTAAAGACGTTTCATGTTCGTATAAATCAAACAGAAAGGCACTGAACTACAGTTCTGCACGAATCGGAGTTCTCCAGCAGTGCTTATTCATTGCCTTTCGTGGATTCTAACTCCAGCATGGGGCATGTCAGACGAGCATGGTGCAATTACGTCATCAGCGCAAAAGCGGTCGATACCGTTAAAATTAATTAAGTAAGAATCGTGAGTACAACTTTAGGTGATACCTCTCTTAAATGATAAGATGAGGCTGTTATAAAACTGGTAATAAGGGTTAACAACTCAGCGATAGATTCATGGACGCGACATATTTTTGGAATACCTAATGGCTGTTTTTTTTATAGTTACGATCAGTAATATTGCTACTTTTATCCAACATTCTGGCCACTTTCAGATTCAATGCCATTATCAATAGTTGAGCACATGGTAGTTGTTCAAGAAGGCATCGCATTTTAGGTTGTATTAGTACAATTACATTTCGAGGTAACAGTGTGTCACGTCGCCGATATAAGTGTATAAACTGGATTTTTAAAGGAACTCAGATTGGTCTTCAGTATGAATACAAGCTATATTTGGACGTGACCTGTAAATTCACACAAGTCCAGTTTTTTGTCGTTATTAATATTTTTCTGACTAGGCAGCAACTGAGCTACTCATTGAGAGCAACGTGTATAGAAGCTGAGCTTGGTCTGTCTTTTGCTGGATTTGTTCCTGTCCTGAAAGATTATTCATAACAAAAAACGAAAGGAATTTCGTACAAAACCCTCTAATTCCATCAAGGTGAACATAGTATCTTACTTGGTGAACAAGCTGCAGTAGAAATTGTGGAACAAATCTTACTGGTTTATGAATGTGGGTTTACCAAACTCAAAACTATGAAAAGAAAGTGAATGTTCCTTACTTCAGCTGTTCAACCTCATCAAACGTCCACTTACCCAAAACGGTGCCAAGAAAGACCAGTGCAAAAGCGAAAATGAGTTGCATTGTTATCTTCTAACGTAAAATCACGGTATCTGTTATTTTTGAATGATTATATAGGTTCACATGCACCGAAACAGACAAATCACCTTGAGAAACACCATTCGCAAATCACGGTCTTCTAATTCGTGGATAAGCGTATACCAACAGCACAGACACACACCCGACCAATGAGGTGGCCATCTGTGGCTTGTAAGGGATACTAATACTCAAACCTGGACGGCAGACCAACATTTGTATCAAAAATTTATACACCAAAAGTCGATTTTTGGGGTGGGAAACAAATCCATGAAAATCATGTTGCACTTGTGGCCTTGGCCGGAGTAACCACAAGCCTCGATATTTTGTTATCTATACACGGCTATGTATTTTGTGGAATTCGACAACATTAGTGACACAATTGTTCCTGCACATTGGTTCCAAAACCCGCCAAAACCGAACTGCAAGACAGGATGATGGAACACTGTTACTAGTGAACGAATGAATTAACACCATCAGCGGAAACTTGTAGGAATGTTGGATTTGAGTTGAATCGGGCGAAGCTTGCTGTTAGGGGACACCAATGAAGACAGGCAGCTGCCTGTATATCTTCTTGTACTACTCTAACAACCCAGTGACGCCTATTAAGCCCATGGAGTTTTTATTTATGAGTAATTTTATGGTGGTACCGTCGCTCTCAGATTTTTCAACATATTGCTAACTAAGTTGCACTTATTTGATCAATTAGTCATGTAGAAATTTTGCATTTCTCATGACAGTGCTATACGTTCATGCAAAAGCAAATATGATTTCGGCCTTTGGTTGCGTGGGGCGCTGTAGCCGATCCGGATATATTGCTAAGTGTGTTTGGTTTTTATTAGTTCTGCTGACGGTGGTCATCTTAGAAATCAAGCGAATGCACTGAACGCTCCAAAACACTGCCTTCCTTAAAACTTCCGGCCTTCTCTTTGGATGATGAGCAACCCTCTTTCTCTCTCCGTTCCCTGTCATAGATTAGTTTTACTTGCATCAGTATAGGACTTGTACTATTGCTATCCGGTGAGGTGTAGTAAAAAGTAATACTTTCTTTTCCCACGTAAGAAATTCGTGGAACTTCACTGCCTTTTTTCTTGACCTTTTAAGATTTCCAATTGATGGCTGGGTAGAAGCCGGGTAACCCACAGTATTTAATACTATCAGAGACTTAAGCCAACCATAAATGGTGAGCTGCTTATAAAACGTAAGTACAGATCAAGCAATAGCACTATAGATTTATTAGAAATGATAGTGTTATTGTAAACGTGAAAATAAAGACGTGATTGTAAATTACCCCAAGCTTGAGCGACGTGAACCGTCGTTGGGCAACATATTCTGCATAGGGTTTTTACCTACAAAAAAGTGGACGACGGTTATCTGGTTGTTGTTATCAGTAGCGAGATTCTCAATACACGTTCTTCTCTGTCGGTCAATATTAATCATAGAGATGAGAAAAAGGATAAGTTTTATTATCAACTGGCGGTACCGAATCCTTAGGGGTTTTGTTACCTTCTGTTTGATTTTAAACCTAACGTTAGTACAGACATGAAAGCGTGGCGGTTGGTTATTCCTAAAACGTGAGTTAAAAGGATCCCAATAAAAATATCTGAATGAAAGCGAAAAGATAACGTGTGCTACCCGAACTTGTCCAAAAATTGACCTTAGTAGCTTTTTTGTCGATGAAAGGTGGTTTGAAGATCACGAAAAGGTGGCAGAACTCTGGATGCAATATGAATCATGCTCTGATGTGTGCAAAATTCCATGGTGTTTGCAGCGTGAACTAGACAAATAAAAGTGAACATCATGAAACTTCCAGAAGTTGGCGAGTCTCCGAAGCAAAGACTGCCCTCAAACACATGTGAATGCAGCTGGGCTTGAAAATAGCCACTTAAACATTTGGATGCTTTAGATAGAGTAGTCTGAAGCAAGGACGGCGGTGTGACTCATCGAACCCTTAGTCATCATATGTTCGGATGCCTGTCTGCAACGAGAAGACACCAATATGCAGCGGTCAAATGACGTGCATGTGACAATACTGGAAGTGTAGTGAATACGTGAAACAGGCTTCCACCGAAAGACTGTTTGTCACTCTTTGGCTTTCAAGATCATACGGATGAAGCTCAAGATATCATGTTTCCCGATAAGACCTAAATTACCTGAAGGTATCGCTGATTTGACCCGGAAATTTCCGCAATTCTGGAAAGCTCAGCCCCTATGTGGTGATGCATTGGGAAGACTACCACCGATTTTGGCACTGCAGTCTGTGATAGGTTTTTATTGCCGCCTGATCATATAGAAATATGGAGAAAACAAGAAGAGGAGGTGATAAGAAAAGGAAAATGAAAGACCTGGCGAAATATCAAAACTGGGAAATCTGACAGTGCAACTGAAAAATTGAACAAAAATGACGGATGAAGAACAAAGTAAAAAAAGAAAATAGGAGAAAAGTGGCATAAATCTATGACCTCACCCTTGAATTTCCTTTGTTGCGGTTCACTGGGACCCCACATCCCATCTCAAGGACTTGAATTATCTTTTGGTATCCTCCGTAAGGTCCGGACACTTCTGACACGCACTGTCTTTTATCCGTCTTTATTCAAAGGAGTACTAGTCTTTCCTCAAATCAACCCAGTGTCCGACAGGTACACGGCCGAAGGCAAACAGTAAATGTAAGAACAAATAACGTAAATAGGATTCTTTTACCTCAAAGGGTTAAATCCATTGACCTAATATTTAATGGTATTCACTGATAAAAAAAATAACAGAACGCGCAAAAGTATAAAAAAAACCTGACCAAATTCTGGTAGCTATTTACAACTGCTGCACGGACTCGATATGTAGACTTAAACTAAGTGGCTACATTTCCTCAACCTATATTGATGTCCCACATGGGTGAATCATTTAAAGCAATGGAACTGCAGGCAGCTACATAGTTAAAGTACCAAGATACAAGACACCATAGTTGCGAAAAGTCCCATCTCAGTGGACCCTCATTAGCGAATGAACTTGTCTGCCTACGATTGACTTACTTGATGAGAGATTAAGAGCGTTTCGTAAGAGTTTCGTTTCAAGAGCAGAGGAAGAACCACAAATAACTCGATCTCGTATGCACCACAGTCAAGAGCATGACGGAAATCCGGCACAGCCCGTAAGTCTCTGAAGTTACAGAGGAAAACAACCCTAAAGTGCACAAGGGATTTCGCACCAGTCAATGTTGCATTGAGTTATTTTTGTCCGAAATACAAGTACAAGGGGAATATCATGAAAGGCACCGATCGTTTCATGGATTCTTTGTGTACATTACCAGAGCTCAGTCAACAGAAAGGCAAAAGGCAAAGCATCAACCAAATTTTAATTGGTGCAATGGCGAGGCTGGTTTTCTCCCTAGCTCTTTCTATCCCTGTTTCAGTGATTTGTGCGCGGAATGCTTCATCCAAAGCGAAAGCTGGGTGATTAGTGGTTCGGGTTAAAGCTTACTCTGGCCAGTACAACGCCGCATGAATCTGATTCCTAAGTTTTTGAAAGATTGTGCCTTATTGTTACATTTTCAGGTTAACAAGCTTCTAATAATGGCATATTGTTTGACTGTTCTATAAATGTTTTTCAGGATGCTTGTCTTTTACCAGGCAGTTTCGGTGAAAGTATTTAAATGAATGGTTGTAATATAACAGGCTGTGCGAATTTTCCATATCTTTACTGTACGGTATTCACAGACCTAACCAAGAAAGGAAATAAACACAAGAATTGCCAAATTTAGCGGGGTAGTTGGTTCCCTTAAGCATCTCGTTCGGAGAACCCATGATCAGACACCAAGAACGCAGTGCACCTGGATGTCGTGCTGCCTTCTGTACATTACAGCGGCTTAACACTACCCGAATGGCATATACAGTATTTACTGAATTTCCCTGAAAGCATTTCGCGAAACATTCAAAAAACTGCTAGAACCGTACGTAGTATGTTGGAAAATCAACTACTTTGGTTAGGCCATTTGAAGTGTAAATCTAAATTTGGTATACATTAACAATTTCTACGCAGTAACTTCGATACTGGAGATCTTATTGAGGAGTACCAGAAATTTTCCAGTTGAGACAGCCTACGAGTAAGTTTGTAGACGTAAAACTTCCGTCGTGATTCATGAATGAACTTGAGAGTCCATATATTTGCCTGGAGAGCTACTCTCCATGCCGACACAGTCGAGACACCTCTTGACCCTGCAAAACCGACTCTCTGCTGAAGACCCTACTATCTGGAATTCCTTAAAATGTGGGCTGTTATGCCTCCGTCGTTCATCCGTGTGTGTCACTAACGTCCTTATATGGACCCAGTGAGAGTCACTTTTATACTATAATCCTTATCTTAGTTGCTTATTGTTGTTCTACCAACAGAAACTCCATTGGTTATGTGTTCCATGGAATGCTGTAAAGGTTATCCGTTTTAGCCCCGGTGTACCCAACTAGAGACTCCCTTGTGATGCTGTCAGAGGTGTGTACACGGTATTACGTTAGAACTTACGTTACTTGACGTCTAACGCTGATAACTCTGTGTCAGACAATTAACTGTTTGCGATGACTGTTTGCGACAACTGATTACTGGAATATACCCCTGCATGATCATCCGACTATATTTCTATCTCCGAGCCGCATCGCGTCCAAGTAATTATTTCCAGTCCCACCTTGGGCTCTGCACCAATCATCCAGAGTCGTCTATTTATGGATGAATGTCCAGTGTTCTGAATACGGTTGACCAGATCCGAAGTGAGTCATTATACATATATATATATATATCGTATATTTATATATACGGTACTGGTGTCTCTAAGAACACTTGTATTAGATTGGTAGTTTTTTTCAAAAGCAATTTTACTCTATTATAACGTCATGCAACAATATTCATTGTGATTCAACTTCTTAAATTCCTTTTCAGGGTTGACCACTACACAGCTTAAAAAAGTAGTAAGGCAGCCACCGGGATCGTGGAAATATTAACCACTGGATAGTTAATACCCACCAGCGGACTGCAACACAAATGTACATTTCGCAAATTAGACGGGATAACACAGCTGTTTAAGGAGCAAGATCATGGGCTGATGTGATTATATTTCACCGGGTTTTCGAGCTGCAGTCCTCTACGAGCCACAAATTCAGGCATTATTTCGAGGTAATGTTAAGACAACAAACTAAAGCCTGAATTTTTTTGGATTATTTGATTATAATCACGAAGGTGGACGAAATGGGCCACTCAGCCTCCAGAGAAATACCACAAAATTGATGAAACGATATGGAGGGCTGTATTTTTGCTGCAACAAACGGATGGACATCTGAATAAAATATATCTACGAGCTTCCAAAAGCTCACAGGTGCCACGATAATCTATTTTATAAAACTGGCGAGAAAAGAAATTACTGGTAACGATGCCAGTCCTGGTAAGCTTAGTATGGTGAACTTCATATCATACACTAATGAGTCTAACTAGAGAAAGTACATACTGGTATACACGCTCAGACCATGTGAAAATACCAGCATGATATAATGAGACAAAAATGTCCTAATGGTGCTTTTTAATGAGAACTATACTCTAGGGGGCTCAAAAACTTGGCTAATTGGGTAAGACACTAATTAGGTTCATCTTCTAGTTCCTCTACATTTTCAGGCCTAACAAACATCGCTCAGCGCCAGTAAGCAGTTCTTTATATGTGAATTCTATGTAGCTCAGCCACCTTCTTGTACAAAACTCCTCATTAGAAGTCCTCTTCTACTCTGGGACCATAGAATGAATGCAACTGAAGATACCTGCGGCTCCTTTATCATCGTGAGCAAAAAACGCCGGTGATAGTAAAACAACAGAAACATAACCTACCGTGGAGAATGGAGGAGAGAAAGAGTCAATATCGGTCAAACAGAATAGACTCATTTTAACGCAAATGAAGAAACACGCACCACAACCAGCAACCCACCGCTACGCACTACTACGCTCCACAATAACGCACTGATGATGTCACCTCGATGGGTGATGAAACGCTTGCAATCAAATTGCCCAGCTCAGCGAACAAGCCAAAGACCACGCATTAAATAAAGGTTTATTGTAATGCGTCCGTATCAATGACTTTCAAGTGCCACAGGGAAGAGATGTCCATAATCAGGCACTTGTGGAAACATCCTGGGAATGAGCCATGGAGTGGGGTAGGGTAATATGTATTAGGTATTGTGTCTACTTTAGCACGGCAAAGCGATAAAAACGTTATTTTCTTCAAAATCTACATGACAGGATCCTGTCTGATGATGCAAAGTGATACTTTGGACCGAGAATGCCGTTCTGAAATGCATTTAACACGCCCATATGTCAAACAGTATTGCTCTTCCCCGGGAATATTCTCACTTTTTCGTAGACGCGTTCGTCAGTTGCAATTTGGTGGATAGCATTACGTGAAATTGGCCCAGTGAATCGCGATTTGGTCATTTGTAGTCAAATTAAAATTGTATAGTCAATTCAAGTCATTTTTAGCTAAGGTAAATATAATCGATAAAACGTTCCGTGAAAAGCAAAGAAAATCCATCAGACGTCGTGAGATAACGGACCTTTGGAGATGTATGGAGCAGCAGTTACAGTCAAAATGCTGGAATTGTAACTGAACAGGTCATCAGTTCTAATGATTATTTACATTAACTGTGCTGGAACGATCCAAATTAAAATTGGACCTAGATCAAGCCCCATTTCACCGATTGGGCGTGACCCGGGTCTATCTTACCTGCAAAGGAGTCTCAAAGGAGTCTCAAATGTAAGGAATAACAAGAGTCATTAGATTGAGAATACTTCGGATGTTTTCGGAAGGACGACCATTATAAGCATAAGAGTACTAAACAACTGCGGATGGTAATATTATCCTGGAATTAGCTGCAGTCGACCGACACTCTCCAATCTGCACTGAGGAAAATCCATCAAAGGTAGCTTAGGCTTCGCATTAATTCTCCCGATTTTTGAGGTGAGTCGCGTCCAATCACAACAATTAAATTAACTGATTCTAATATGATCGTCTCAAACCTTTTTGCTCCGGGTATCGTCATAAGTTCCAACTATCTTCCAGACCACAATGTGAAATAATTTTAGATGACTAATATGCAGAAAAAAGAATTTTTCATCAAGTGAAACTGTGTAGAGCAAGCTATTTCGCTCGCTTTTCAGAATTTTCATAATTCAATGATCGTAACTGGGAAACCGAATCAAGTAAAATCTCAACGATAACAATTTTGCGACAAGCTGATTCCACTGTCTTATTCTACAAATGAA